ATACTTGTCTCCCTCCATTTGGAAACCGAATTGCAAAATATTTTCTGAGTATCTAATTTAATACTAGATGCTAAGACAGGTGCTAAGAGGGAATTTTAGGGATATATAAACCAATGTGTTGACCCCTGAACCTATCTGGAAGCAATGGAGATATAAATAAAAGATAATAATCTTTCCCATCCTTAACCCTTTCGATGATTTCCTATTCATCTCAGGATCAAGTGCAAAATCTTCAATATGGCCTGCAAGGCACTACGCAGTCTTAACCATCTTGTTCCCTCACTGCATCCAGTCATCCCAGTCTTCTTTCAGTTTCCTGAACACACCTGATTCTTTCTGTACATGGAGTTACTACCACCTGGGTGGCTTGGAAATCTATTCTCCCCCTTGTCTGTTTCCTAGTAATTCTGCAGGGTTTAGCTCAAATATCACTTCCTCAGCAAAGTTCTTCCTAATCTTCAAGTTAAGTTAGACCTTCTTTAAATAGTCTCATAGCCCTGTGAAGTTTTTCTTCATAGCAGTAATAACAAGCACGGCAATTTAAATAATTATTTATGGATTTGTTCAACAAAGTAGGTAAGGACTATGTCTTAGTTGTTGTTTGCCCAGCACCCAGCACGCCATAGAATCTCACTAGCAAATTATTGAAAGAATACTGAAAAGATCTAATAATACAAGAAATGACATTAATTACCAGATATGTATTATAGCTATTAAATGCTGAGTTCAGGAGAGGGAGTAGAGACCAGGACGGGGCAGGATAAATAACTTTACTGAGCAACAAGCAAAACATAGCCTAAAAGGAAAGAATCTGTTCCTCCAATTACTTGAAGGCAGCAATAGTATGTTTTCATTTATTCATTCATCAGGCATATAATGTATTCAGTGCCTAAAGTGCCAGTTCTTGGGAGTTCAAAGCTAAGTAAGGCAAGGTCTCTGCACTTATGTAGTCTATTGGTAAACAGGTCATTGTAATATGATGTGACAAGTGCCGTGATAAACAGAAAATTCTGCATATTCACAGAAGTGAAATTTTATGCATACTGGGGGTTGCATGGATGGATTTCTGGAGATATCTGAGCTGAGTTAAAGGTTCAAAGTTAGTGGCCCAAGATGGGAGAGGACATTGCAGGCAAAAGCAGCTGCTAGAGCACAATCAAGGAGACAGGTGGGAAGCAGCCTGGCTCATTCCAGAAACTGGACGAAGTTCTGTGTGACTGGTTAGGTTGTCTACGAATGGCAAGCCATGAGGTCAGAGAAGTAACCCGGGCCCAGCACATTAAGGTCCTTTGCACACTGATAAGAAATAAGATCTGGACTGAGACCTCTCTACAATGTCCTATCTGGGCCTTCAACGAACATTGTCATAGAAGGACCTTTTGAGAGCCACTTCAGAGATTCGTAGATAACTCCAGGAAAGCTCAATCATGGGACTGAAGTAAAATCCTGAAACTTGGCCTGAAACCCACTTGACACCAATTAATTCAAGACAGGATTAGGCCTACCCAGATAAATCAGGATAGTGTCTTTCTACAAAGACTACGCTGTTTGAGGGCTGGGGATGTGGGAAGGGAAAGTCTTTAATCGGTACTATCCAGACTTAAGTGGGATTGCTCGAATGCTGTTTCTGGCAAACAACTTACCCCAACATACACGCCTTCAAGTGTTTTGCTGGAACTCAATAATTACAAGCTCAATTGCTAGAACCAGACTACTAGTTAGAAGTCCTAAAACTAACTTATCCTTGGTCCTGTATGTTTCCACCATAGCCATACTCTCTATGTCCTCGACATCACCATTAAATTATCCTTGATTTAATAAATACTTTTGAGTTATATAATCTCTCCTCCCACTAGCCCTTACCTCCCCAATGTTGGCTTTACAGTTCTATCACTCATTACAAGGATTTTTGCCTGATCTGTTTCCCTTACTAGATACCGAGTTCCTTTAAAGTAGGCACCTGTCATATTAGTCTTTATACCTCCAGAGCTTATCACGATG